TCCTTGATGATCTTCTCAAAGAGTTTCCCCAGGATTGAGGTAAGACTGACGGGCCTATAGTTGCCCGGGTCCTCCCTCTTCCCCTTCTTGAAGATGGGGACCACATTTGCTACCTTCCAATCATCTGGCACCTGGCCCAAGCACCACGATCGTTCATAGAGCCGTGCCAGGGGCCCTGCAATAACCCCAGCTAGCTCCCCCAACACCCTGGGGTGGAGAGCATCCGGACCCGCTGACTTGAACGCGTCCAGCCCCTCCAGAAGCTCTCTAACCCGGTCCTCCCCAACCTGAGGTCTGTGCCAGTGGGGCCCAGAGCAGGGTGGCAGGAGTGCAGGGGCTCTATGGAGCCAGGCCAGCTTCCCGCTCTCCCTGCTGGTGCAGCCCAGCCCAGCTCCACAAACCCCTGCCAGCCTGTGACCCGCTTTGGGCCCCACCAGTGCTGGCCTTGGGACACTGGTCCCAAGTTGGTGACCAGGGGGCGGGGCATCTCTTTAGGGGTGGGGCACCTGTCAAGGGGTGGGGCTACCCACGTGGCCCTTGACATTCTGCCAAAACTGGATAAGAGGTCGTCTGCCCGAAATAATTGCCTGCTCTTGAGATAAACGCAAGCTCAGACTGGCTGATTCTCCATCCATACGGCCTGGCCCCTCTGCAAGGAGGTACATGTTATAATATAGAAATCAGTTTTTAAAAATGGAAGTCACTCAATTCACAAAAGTTATGGAGGCTTGCCTTGTGTCTAAAAAGGATGAAAACCACTGCACTAGACAGAGTGGGTTGGCTTTTCATTGTGGCCATGGAGTAATGCTGGTTTATACCAACACAGTACTTTGCTTATTGTTCCTATTAAGGTGACTCTGTAATGTTTAACAAGTAAGTATTTGTTCAGGTTAGGGAATTTTTCATGTCCTCCTGAATAACACGTGAATAGTCTTTTAGCTTTTTGTGAACACTTTTTCACCTCCCAAGTAGAAACATATCATCTACTGTTTGAATATATTCAGTTTACTTTGCCTTTTGAAATATAACCATATCAGATTGTGATCAGATTAAATATTTGCACTAAAGAACTATATTAGAATTTTGTTTCAGTGGTGGAAAAGTGAATTCCTACCTCTTCTCCAACCAAATACTCAGGATGATGAGATGTATTTGTCCATTTGGTCCCAGAGCTGTGATCTAAAATAGCTGGCCGCATCTGTCTGTTGTATGATCGGGCCTGAAATGCATATTAAATTGCATAGCATTAAGAAACATCTTGCCAATCACAATATCTTTCTTTTTCATCTTACGTATGAAAAAGAAAGATAACCACAAAGTTCATATGTAAGAGTGCACTTCCCTCTTCCTCTTCTATTTGGCCAAGGCACACTTTGGCACTGAGTGCACTACTGCTTACTGCTGCAATAACTCTACTCTCACCCCAAAGAGGAATCAAACTGAACTACTGTGTAACAGGACAATTTAATAAAGTATGATGAAAGAGTTACCTGATCAGGTGACACTGGTATACGCCTTGCCCCATTGGACATCTTTTTAGACCATATTGCTTGGTCCACCATTTTAAGGCCATTTTGTCTTTGCTCAGTGCTTTCAGGTTTCTAAAGGAAAAAAACAAACAAACCTGTGCAACTTGATAAAATTTCTTGCAAAATAAGAGAGATCATGCACATCTGAACATTGATAATGCTGAAGCTGGTAATAAAACATGAAATCACTGCAGGAACATAATGTCAGACTATAAGGATGGCGGACAACATGCATGATGGGGTATATTTATTAAGAGGAAACACTCTTTTATATTACAGCTCCTGAGGCAAACCTACTGAGGACTGGCTTGCGTTGTAGTCAGTTTACTAACCCTGCCCAGGTAACTCCACAAACATCAAACAGCAAAAAACACGCTAAATAACAGTCTGTTTAGAAAATAAAATGTAAAAATATTTGAAATGTTACTTTTGACAGTAATTTGACAGTAAAGACTCAAATTACAAGAAGGTTAAGTTGCTTAGACCAAATTTGCCTAGACCTCACAACAGAACAAGATTCTGCTGTGTTAATTTTTAAAACATAGGGGCTTTGCCAAGCAGTGGAATCTTTTGAGAAACATGGAATGAATTGAATGCAACAGGAAGAACATCAGACCCAGGATTCCCAACCAAAAGCAGCACAACACAGACTTTATTAAACAGCTTATTTTAACCAACCCCAAGGTTCCCAATTTCCAAACATAATGTGTTGCTAGAACATTTGCTCCCTTACATTAAGCCCATCTCTGAGGAGCCAGCTATCCCTGTACGTGGCTTGTCCTTGCTGCTTGTGTCTTCTCGCAATGAGGTGGGGAACGCTCACAGGCAGTGTGTCGGTGGCTCTTCCTAGCCTCAGCGTGGTGGACCCAGGGTGGATCACAACAATGAAGTTGCTTTGTATTTGCTGGAAACATTCAAACAGACGCACAAGTGTAACAGGCCCCTGGCCACATACCCCCGGAGGCTGAGGGGGCACAGCAACCGTCCGCAGGTGGCAGGGACATTCGTGACGTGGGCGCTGGTGGGTAGCAGCCAGCAGCAATCAGGGACTGCGTGCAGATGCTGCTGGTGGTGGGGCTGGTGGCAAGCAGCAACTGCCCACAGGCACAGCTGGCAGCACCGGTGGTGCTTTTCCACAGGGGGTGCACGTGCACTCCCTACACGTTGCCACTGCCCCTGGTGCTCAACCTTTCTGCCTGGCAAGCGGCACTGGCAGGGTCCGCAGCCGGGATCCACCTGGGGGTCTCAATCCAACACTGGGGACAGGAGTACCACCGGGGTGGTGGGGGTAACCACCTGGGGGGAAGCGGGACAGTGAAGGCCGGCTTCAACACCCCCACCCAGGGAAGAGGCTGGCGAAAAGGGCGCAGCAGGAATCAGTGTTGCCAGGTGTACGATAATTATGATATTTGTACAATAATTTCAACCCTTGTACCATGTACAATCAATAAGAGTAAAAGGGTGCAAAATGTAGCATAATTTTTTAGACCGTATGAGCATATGCAAAACCCAAGTCACTTTCAGGGAGTCTTAACTGACTTTTGGGTTTGCTGTCACCACTTTCTCACGGCCGCTTGCCTCAAAATAAAGAAACGCTTCCACTCTGACCCAGGTCTCTCTCACTACCGAGTACAGCGACCAATAAAAAATAAACACCACGTCTTATCTGCGGTCTGTCAGTGCCCGACAGTCTTCGGCGAATGCGATAATTTTACAGTTTCACATTCAAGACCTGGCAGCGCTGTGCGGGGAAGGGATAGCAGCCCAGCTGGGCTCGGGGCCGGGGCTAGGGACAGGGGGAGCGGACCGCGCAGCGCCAGCCGGGGGCAGAA